TTTTGCTCCAGCCTCTGAAATAGAAATTAACTGAAAGAATTAAACTTTCCCTGGCAGAGTATAAATAACTGCAAAGATCATTCGTACAGCCTGAAATGCAGGGGAAATAACCTCTATGGCTTTTTTCTATGATTTTTTAGGCATTTTTTAAAAAATTAGGAGAAATGGGAGACATAATGGACAGCAGTTCTGTCTGTTTGTACCTAACAAGTCTGTGTAACTCCTTATTCTAGTCCTGTTGTGTTCCGGGGAAGGTATTTCAAGAGCTGGGGAAAAGGGTAGGTAATCACAGGAAGGCTGGAGAGCACCTGGTCAGACTGCAGGATGTATGTTTTAGAATATCCTTTGCACTTAAGTTAGAGTGCTGAGGTAACTGACTGCTTGTTAGAGATGCTCAGGGAATGGTTTTGTTCTCTAAAAATTACTGGTGAAATAAAATGTTTTCTTTCACATTAGCAGGTTGAGATAAAGAGGGAAGCTTGGAATTTAGCTCAGCTTATGAACTAATCTTAACATTACTATTGTCTTGTTGTCACTGAAATTTTGGCCCACATTAGTTATTGCTCCTTAATGAACAAGAGGCAAAAAAATCTTTTCTCTGAGGTAAGCAACCCAGCTACCAAAAGGCAACTCTTAAGACTTAATGCTCTTCATGCTCCAAATGACCAGCTCTGAGCCTGGTCTAGGGCGAGATTCTTTTCCTCCCACTACTAAGGTCACATTTCAGAAACCTCTCACATACTTACTTTTTTGATGGGTAAGGTGACTTTCACAATGAAAGAAAAAGATAGCATATTATCTTCCACATGTAAAGCTCACTCAGGGAATGCGATTGGCAAAACTTCCACTTTGGAAGAATACACTGTGACAAACTTTCTGTCTGTTTAAGGCAACCTACATTCCATATGAAGATAAGCACGAAACAATGTAGGGTAATAAAAATAGCTTTTATTTTCCAGGACTCCATTGTGGACTAAGCTGTCCATTAAGGAAGGTGAGAGGTAAGGTTTCATTAAACTGACTTTGAAGGAAATATGTTTCATCATGTGCTATTTAATTAACCTGTGGTTTGCTTAATTGTTGTTTTCTTTAAAGGTAACTTAAATTTTAAATCAGTTAATCAAAAATAGAGCAATGGCAAAAACCTGGTTTATTAATAAAAGTCTAAGTAAGACTGAGATTCTTCTAGCTGTAATTATCATCATTCTACTCTGTGCCCTGTTGGCTCGCCTATTATTTCTGTTCTCATTTTATTAATAAAGAGGAAGTAAAATTTCAGGGCCAAAACTTCGTCCTACTAAATGTCAGGACTTAAGCCAGTGTGACATAGGGGGAAAAAAATCACTCTTGCAGGGCAGTAAGCCATACTGCACTTAGAAAATGTTACATATTCATTGAACGGGTCTTCACTTAAAAGGACTTTGAAACAAACTCCAGAGTACCTGCCCACGGAAGAGATTTTAAGACCTTCATAGTTCAGAATGCGTTTACTTGTTATCTGGGACTGGTGCCTTTTATACCACGCAGCAGATCCATGATTCTCAGCCCTATAACTGTAGCTGGTAAAAAGTGGGTGGAAAAGATGCTTTGTCTCTGTAAAACACTTTTCTTTTTGGTCTAATCAGTACACTGGTATAAACTGTTCAGTGTGAGGTGCTTTCTTTTTTTTTTTAATTCCAAAAGGCATATATGTTCTGTGGTATAATGGAAAACTGGCAGATGCCACCATTAAAATGAAAACCCACACAAGCTGTGGTATTCATGGAGACAAGAACTCTGCCAAGTGTGTGGCCACGAGGGATGCAGTCAGACATTCCCCTGCTGGTAGAACATTGCTTTGTTTCCAAAGACCAAAGGCCCCTTTTAGCTAGACAGGTCCTGTTAAGGTGTCAGGTTGCTGATAGCCTTCACAGGGTAACTATTTTGCCTAATATTTAGGTCGTTCAACCCACTCTTTCAAAATCCTGGCTTGGAACCTCACAGGTGATGCCTGTACTGCTGAGTGTAGACTGAGCATGTGATCTGACTGACAGTCATTTACATGAAAGCCTAGGCCAAGTACAGGCCAGCAGGAGAAAAAAAGAAAGGAAAGAGCAAGTCCTGGCTTTGGGTCTTAGCATTGACCTACATGCTCTTTACAGTGGTTTAGATGGGCTGGGCAGGGGAGGAGGAAGGAGGGTGGCTGAGTGTCTGTACACGGGAGTTTATTCACTGGTGGATAAATTCCTGACCTGGAGGTGACGTGATTACTGAACTACTCAGTACCCATAGTATGGCAAGTGGGCACTCAGAACATGCCTGTACAGTGCCAGGTAGTACCTGGACATACCTGAGCTAGCCAAAACATCAGCTGCCCTGGGAAGGACGAAAGACCACAGAAAAGTCACTGCCTGGGCCAGCATGCACTTCAATACTTTCTATTTGCCACAGCCTTCTCCTTCTCCCCCTGGGCTTTGGTTTGCAAAAGTGTGTTCCCAAGTGATCTAAAGATTGCTATCCTAACCTTTGAAAGTGCAAAGAATTCAGTATTTTCCTAGGCTTTTCTGATTGCATTCAGAGAGAAGATAATTTCTTCAGGAGAATTGCTAAAGTTACCCGCTGTTAGAAATAGTGGCTTTGCAATAAAGGATTGGAAAACCGAGCGAAGAGAGATGTGGCACGAAATGGTGAGTGTCCCTTGTCCTGTGGGACAGCCGATTTGCTTACAGGCAGCACTGCACAAATGTAAAGGCCCTAATGAGCAGCTGACTGCATGTTAGTCCTGGATTTAACCCTCAGTGTCTTTTATTGGCTGCACTTCTGCTTGATTCTGAGAGTTACTTCTCTCTTCCTCCACTGGTTCATTCCATGCTTTCTACAAATTCTAAAACATATTATTGTATGCTCCATGTTACCTGGTCCACTACTTATTTTCCTAGTGCTTTAACTGATATGTATTATGCTTTAACTGATTGGTATTAATACTGGGAC